AGTTCTAGTTCAGTTCTAGTTCAGTTCTAGTTCAGTTCTAGTTCAGTTCTAGTTCAGTTCTAGTCAGTTCTAGTTCAGTTCTAATTCAGTTCTAGTCAGTTCTAGTTCAGTTCTACTTCTAGTTCAGTTCTAGTTCAGTTCTAGTTCAGTTCTACTTCTAGTTCAGTTCTAGTTCAGTTCTAGTTCAGTTCTAGTTCAGTTCTAGTTTAGTTCTAGTTCAGTTCTAGTTTCAGTTCTAGTTCAGTTCTAGTTCACATCTACTTCAGTTCTAGTTCAGTTCTAGTTCAGTTCTAGTTCAGTTCTAGTTCAGTTCTAGTTCAGTTCTAGTTCAGTTCTGTTCTAGTTCAGTTCTAGTTCAGTTCTAGTTCAGTTCTAGTTCAGTTCTAGTTCAGTTCTAGTTCAGTTCTAGTTCAGTTCTAGTTCAGTTCTAGTTCAGTTCTAGTTCAGTTCTAGTTCAGTTTCTAGTTCAGTTCTAGTTCAGTTCTAGTCAGTTCTAGTTCAGTTCTAGTTCAGTTCTAGTTCAGTTCTAGTTCAGTTCTTCTAGTTCAGTTCTAGTTCAGTTCTAGTTCAGTTCTAGTTCAGTTCTAGTTCAGTTCTAGTTCAGTTCTAGTTCAGTTCTAGTTCAGTTTCTAGTTTCAGTTCTAGTTCAGTTCTAGTTCAGTTCTAGTTCAGTTCTAGTTCAGTTCTAGTTCAGTTCTAGTTCAGTTCTAGTTCAGTTCTAGTTCAGTTCTAGTCAGTTCTAGTTCAGTTCTAGTTCAGTTCTAGTTCAGTTCTAGTTCAGTTCTAGTTCAGTTCTAGTTCAGTTCTAGTTCAGTTCTAGTTCAGTTCTAGTTCAGTTCTAGTTCAGTTCTAGTTCAGTTCTAGTTCAGTTCTAGTTCAGTTCTAGTTCAGTTCTAGTTCAGTTCTAGTTCAGTTCTAGTTCAGTTCTAGTTCAGTTCTAGTTCAGTTCTAGTTCAGTTCTAGTTCAGTTCTAGTTCAGTTCTAGTTCAGTTCTAGTTCAGTTCTAGTTCAGTTCTAGTTCAGTTCTAGTTCAGTTCTAGTTCAGTTCTAGTTCAGTTCTAGTTCAGTTCTAGTTCAGTTCTAGTTCAGTTCTAGTTCAGTTCTAGTTCAGTTCTAGTTCAGTTCTAGTTCAGTTCTAGTTCAGTTCTAGTTCAGTTCTAGTTCAGTTCTAGTTCAGTTCTAGTTCAGTTCTAGTTCAGTTCTAGTTCAGTTCTAGTTCAGTTCTAGTTCAGTTCTAGTTCAGTTCTAGTTCAGTTCTAATTCATTTCTAGTTTATTTAAATTTTGAAGAAGCATTTTAATTGTTCACATCGTTATTCTTTGCGCAATGTTTGGAAATTTTCTAGAATAATGGAAAAGTTTTGAAAATGTTAATAGACTCATATTGCAATTGTGTTGCTGGTGTCAAATTGTTATTATTATGTCCATGTATAAAAAATGTTTAGAAATAGTTATTTTCCGCTAGAAATACATATTTTTCAATTAACTTACTCTGAAAAAAACTCATGAAACAGATGCATATTTCAAAAACTTTCCATACGATATATACTCAAACTATAAAGTCTTTTCTATTCTTTGAAAAAAAAAGTATGTGTGTGTTCTTCTGCTCAATCATTTGAAAGATTTAAACAAACTGTTTTGTTTGCAAAAAATTAAAAAAAATAAATCAAATTGTTGCTATTGGATTTTTCCATAAACATTAAACTACGGCAGGTCAAGAATCTGATTCAAAGCTGGTCGCAAAAACAAAGTTGTAGATTTTGTTTACGCCAGTCAATGGGACATTACTTTTACCATTCATCAGCATCAGCCGCTTCTATTCTACATCAATATAATTAAATTGTAAGTGCATCAATCAACGGACGCACACATAAAATCACAGAACTATCGCTTTACTTTCGCTTTTGGTTTCATGGAAGTTTACGGAACTTTCCGATCAAAGTATTATTGTCATTTGTTGTTTGTTTATTGTGTCACAAACATATAGATATACTCATGGAGAACATAACAATTTATACGTTTCTAGAAAGAATTTTATCCCTTACTATTATTGAAGAGGGTAACTGAATTTAATTTCTCATAGTACATCTATGGTATATAAAGGAAGTTTACCTGACATTCTATAAATTTCTAAAAGTTTCTATTCCATTTATTTATGCTCAGCATCACGTTTAAATGATTTTAAGCTGAAAATGTTTGTTTTGGGTATGAGTTTACTTCTGGAATTGAATGTCCTTTGTATTATTTGAATAACATTTTATATCCTGTTTATGCTTATAAAATGTGCGTGCGTATGTGTGAGCAACATTGACATTGAATATTCGCCGGTTCCCGGTCTTTTACACATAATTGTATAAGAGAATCGCTAAAATACACCTCTAACTATTTTGTCGGCTTGGAAACTATAGTTTAGTTCTTGTTTAGTTTTAGTTCTGTTCTACATAAGTTCTAGTTCATTTCTAGTACTAGAATGGTACAGTTCTAGTTTAGTTCTAGTTCAGTTCTAGTTCAATTCTAGTTTAGTTCTAGTTTAGTTCTAGTTCAGTTCTAGTTCAGTTCTCGTTCAGTTCTAGTTCAGTTCTTTCTGTTCTAGTTCTGTTCTATTCTAGTTCTGTTCTAGTTCTATTCTAGTTCTGTTCTAGTTCTGTTCTAGTTCTGTTCTAGTTCTGTTCTAGCTCTGTTCTAGTTCTGTTCTAGTTCTGTTCTAGTTCTGTTCTAGTTCTGTTCTAGTTCTGTTCTAGTTCTGTTCTAGTTCTGTTCTAGTTCTGTTCTAGTTCTGTTCTAGTTCTGTTCTAGTTCTGTTCTAGTTCTGTTCTAGTTCTGTTCTAGTTCTGTTCTAGTTCTGTTCTATTTCTGTTCTAGTTTTGTTCTAGTTCTGTTCTAGTTCTGTTCTAGTTCTGTTCAAGTTCTGTTCTAGTTCATTTCTAGTTCTGTTCTAGTTCATTTCTAGTTCTGTTCTAGTTCAGTTCTAGTTCAGGTCTAGTTCAGTTCTAGTTCAGTTCTAGTTCAGTTGTAGTTCAGTTCTAGTTCAGTTCTAGTTCAGTTCTAGTTCAGTTCTAGTTCAGTTCTAGTTCTGTTCTAGTTTTGTTCTAGTTCTGTTCTAGTTCTGTTCTAGTTCTGTTCTAGTTCTGTTCTAGTTCTGTTCTAGTTCTGTCTAGTTCTGTTCTAGTTCTGTTCTAGTTCTGTTCTATTTCTGTTCTATTTCTGTTCTAGTTCTGTTCTAGTTCTGTTCTAGTTCTGTTCTAGTTCTGTTCTAGTTCTGTTCTAGTTCTGTTCTAGTTCTGTTCTAGTTCTGTTCTAGTTCTGTTCTAGTTCTGTTCTAGTTCTGTTCTAGTTCTGTTCTAGTTCTGTTCTAGTTCTGTTCTAGTTCTGTTCTAGTTCTGTTCTAGTTCTGTTCTAGTCTGTTCTAGTTCTGTTCTAGTTCTGTTCTGTTCTAGTTCTGTTCTAGTTCTGTTCTAGTTCTGTTCTAGTTCTGTTCTATTCTAGTTCTGTTCTAGTTCTGTTCTAGTTCTGTTCTAGTTCTGTTCTAGTTCTGTTCTAGTTCTGTTCTAGTTCTGTTCTAGTTCTGTTCTAGTTCTGTTCTAGTTCTGTTCTAGTTCTGTTCTAGTTCTGTTCTAGTTCTGTTCTAGTTCTGTACTAGTTCTGTTCTAGTTCTGTTCTAGTTCTGTTCTAGTTCTGTTCTAGTTCTGTTCTAGTTTTGTTCTAGTTCTGTTCAAGTTCTGTTCTAGTTCTGTTCTAGTTCTGTTCTAGTTAATTTCTAGTTCTGTTCTAGTTCTGTTCTAGTTCTGTTCTAGTTCTGTTCTAGTTCTGTTCGAGTTCTGTTCTAGTTCTGTTCTAGTTTTGTTCTAGTTTTGTTCTAGTTCTGTTCTAGTTCTGTTCTAGTTCTGTTCTAGTTCTGTTCTAGTTCTGTTCTAGTTCTGTTCTAGTTCTGTTCTAGTTCATTTCTAGTTCTGTTCTAGTTCAGTTCTTTCTGTTAGTTTTGTTCTAGTTCTGTTATAGTTCTGTTCTAGTTCTGTTCTAGTTATGTTCTAGTTCTGTTCTAGTTCATTTCTAGGTCTGTTCTAGTTCAGTTCTTTCTGTTTTAGTTTTGTTCTAGTTCTGTTATAGTTCTGTTCTAGTTCTGTTCTAGTCCTGTTCTAGTCCTGTTCTAGTTCTGTTCTAGTTCTGTTTTAATTCTGTTCTAGTTCTTTTCTAGTTCTGTTTTAATTCTGTTCTAGTTATTTTCTAGTTCTGTTCTGTTCTAGTTTTGTTCTGTCTTATTTATGGTCTAGTTCTGTTTTTGTCCTGTTCTAGTTTTCAGAGACTCAGCTTAGATACTCGAAGCTAAGCCTAGAAGCTAAGGATAGTTTTTTTCAAACAGGTTTAATTAATTAACATTCAAGGATCTCTTTGGATCATCAATGATTCGCAAGAGGATTGCAATATCTTTGTTATTGAATCTGGCAAAACTAATTGCTCAATAGTTTTGGGGGAAGAACCGTGTGGTTTCAAACATTCTTAGGATTGGGAAGAATTGGATAGTAGATCAAGACATCGGTGTTTTTTAACACAACTCTTATATCATTATACCAAATAAAATTCTCTTTCTTTTAAATTAAAGAACATAATATGAACATGCGTATTACGGCACGCGTGGAAAAAACTACAATAATTAAAGCTCAAACACAGCCGGCTTTAATTTAAACACAAACTCCCAACAGTTGGGGGTATTATTGAAACAACAATAAAAACGTCAAATTTTTGCTTTGAGCAAAATCAAATACAATAAATAAACAAAAAAATAAATAAATAATAAAGAGAGTGAAAAAAAACCCGAAAGAACGCGCGAGTTGTTTGATATACTGATTCTACAAACACATTGTTTAAGGAAGAAAGGCAGACCCAACAACAGCAACAAAAATATTAAAAAAAAATATCAGAATAATAACAACAAACACGATATGAGGGTATCGTGTCGGTTTGCGAATTTAATCATCATCTAGGCATAAATAGTAGTGGCTGCTTTCCAACCAGCTCATTAGTTGGAAAACATCGAAGCCGTAAACAGCTCAAACCAAATAAAGAGAACAGGAGAAAACAAAAAAGAATTTTGTGAAAAATAAAATTTATAAAGAATAAAATTTGAAGCAGTTTTTTTTGGCTATAGAAACGTCAGTGACATAAAAAGTTATATAAAATTTAATAAAAGAAAAGTGTTAAATCTTTAAATTAAATTTTAAACAAGTGTTTTTTTTATTAATAAAATATAAATAAATTATTTAAAAATGAAACCTACAGCTGCTGAAAGTTTGGAAGTCATTTCACCTAAAGTACAAATCACTGATAGTTTTATTGAAACCGATTACGAGTATCAAACTTCACAAGTAAAACGTTTGGCCAATGGAAAAATTCAGGTATGTCAGTCAAGTCGTCATAGTATTGATTTATTTCATTATTTACAAAATATTTTTCTAGAACTTTAGAGGGTGGATTTTTTAACTATTAATATATTAAGTTTGTTTTTAAAAATAGTTTTAACCACAAGTTTTGTGGAAAATGAATTTAAATGCTTTTTGTATAATAAATTTCTAAAATTTATTCAATCATTTGAAAGGCATAACAAAAAGGGACATAAATTAGTGTTGTGTATTTCAACGAATAATCGTACAAAATTGTAATTCTTTTTTTTTAGATTTGTTCTTTAAATTTGTATAAATATTTCAAAATTTTTTAATTAGAATTTCCGAAATTTATGAAATAGTTCTACTTTAGTTCTAGTTCGGCCTTAATTCAGTTCTTGTTCAGTTCTAGTTCAGTTCTAGTTCAGTTCTAGTTCAGTTCTAGTTCAGTTCTAGTTCAGTTCTAGTTCAGTTCTAGTTCAGTTCTAGTTCAGTTCCAGTTCAGTTCTAGTTCAGTTCTAGTTCAGTTCTAGTTTAGTTCTAGTTCAGTTCTAGTTCTGTTCTAATTCAGTTCTAGTTCAGTTCTAGTTCAGTTCTAGTTCAGTTCTAGTTCAGTTCTAGTTCAGTTCTAGTTCAGTTCTAGTTCAGTTCTAGTTCAGTTCTAGTTCAGTTCTAGTTCAGTTCTAGTTCAGTTCTAGTTCAGTTCTAGTTCAGTTCTAGTTCAGTTCTAGTTTAGTTCTAGTTCAGTTCTAGTTCTGTTCTAGTTCAGTTCTAGTTCAGTTCTAGTTCAGTTCTAGCTCTGTTCTAGTTCTGTTCTAGTTCAGTTCTAGTTCAGTTCTAGTTCAGTTCTAGTTCAGTTTTAGTTCAGTTCTAGTTCAGTTCTAGTTCAGTTCTAGTTCAGTTCTAGTTCAGTTTTAGTTCAGTTCTAGTTCAGTTCTAGTTCAGTTCTAGTTCACATCTAGTTCAGTTCTAGTTCAGTTCTAGTTTAGTTCTAGTTCAGTTCTAGTTCAGTTCTAGTTTAGTTCTAGTTAAGTTCTGATTCAGTTCTAGTTCAGTTCTAGTTCAGTTCTAGTTCAGTTCTAGTTCAGTTCTAGTTCAGTTCTAGTTCAGTTCTAGTTCAGTTCTAGTTCAGTTCAGTTCTAGTTCAGTTCTAGTTCAGTTCTAGTTCAGTTCTAGTTCAGTTCTAGTTCAGTTCTAGTTCAGTTCTAGTTCAGTTCTAGTTCAGTTCTAGATCAGTTCTAGTTCAGTTCTAGTTCAGTTCTAGTTCAGTTCTAGTTCAGTTCTAGTTCAGTTCTAGTTCAGTTCTAGTTCAGTTCTAGTTCAGTTCTAGTTCAGTTCTAGTTCAGTTCTAGTTCAGTTCTAGCTCAGTTCTAGTTCAGTTCTAGTTCAGTTCTAGTTCAGTTCTAGTTCAGTTCTAGTTCAGTTCTAGTTCAGTTCTAGTTCAGTTCTAGTTCAGTTCTAGTTCAGTTCTAGTTCAGTTCTAGTTCAGTTCTAGTTCAGTTCTAGTTCAGTTCTAGTTCAGTTCTAGTTCAGTTCTAGTTCAGTTCTAGTTCAGTTCTAGTTCAGTTCTAGTTCATTCATAATCGAATCATTAAAAAAATTATCATTATTATGGAAATTTTTATTGATAAACTTGTGATAAAATTTATTATAACTAAATGCATTTATTTATCTTTTTGATTGATTAGAGTTTGATATGAAATATTTACATATCTAAGTTTAGGGATAAACTCACTAGCCACATGACTAGTGAGAAGAGGACAACAAAAATTTCAACATTTAAGAATTAGTTTAAAAAGATTTTGTGAACTGCAGTTTTTTTTAGCAGTAAATTAATATTATTAGAACTTAAGCGTGAAATTAACCAAAACCATATTATCAATAGCGCGTGAAGTTAGCAACATAAATTTTGCAGTTAACAAACCAGCGTAGAACAAAGACAAGTTACTGATAAAATCCTAACAATGCCGGTTAAAACGTCCTTCAAACTTTCTAGAAAACTCCTAAACTGACCTTCATTGTAGAAACTTCCTGAAAGAAAAGCCGCTTTGTATAACAAAGAACAAATAATATTCCCGGTTTTATTGATTTTTTTTCTATTGTGATAAAGACATACATATTCCAGAACTTACTTAACATCACTCCACTTCCTCACTTTTTTATTTAATAAAGTAACGCACATGCGTTTTAAAAACTTCAGTGCACTTTCGCCTCCATAAAGATAACAAATTTCATGTTCAAGGTTACTTTTGTATATATAGACAACAATAGTATTTATAAATAATACATAGAATAATCGTTTCACTAGGTCTGGGTTGAGGTTGTTGCCTGCCACTTGTTAGATATTTATGTGTGGAGGAATCATACATTTGAACAATAATTGTTTAAGGGGGAATTACATACTGAACAAATACATTTGAAAACATTTATCAAGCGGTCAGGGGTTTTGGGGGCAGTGTATTAACTGTTAAGTATTGGGTGTTCAATTTTGTTTATAAAGCCATATAAATAAATAAAAAAACTAGATATTGTATATTGGATGACGAGGAATGGCTTATATTATTTAACAATTTATTTTTTTAATTTTGCATTTTGTTTATAATTAAGATTTGAAAAAAAAAATATGGTGTGAAAATATTTGAAAGCTGTGTTGAAATATGTGAATATATTTATGAAATTGTTGCTTAGAATTATTAATAATTTGTTTATATTAGCAGTCATTTGATTTGCATTTTTTATATAGGCACGTGGTAAAGAAGTCTAGATCTGAAATTTTATTAAAAATTCTAATTATAACTCTGTATTTTAAACGGAACTATATATGGAATATTATATACATATAATGCTTTAAAATAAGATCAAAAATCTCAAGACCAGATGATTATGTGACGTTAGAAACTGTTACAGGTATTAACGTGGCAATTTTCTCCGATGTACTTTGCCACCGACAGATTGCACGCTAGTTCTTGCATCCGTTTCCAGTAAATACTAGGAAGTTCGATCATCCCTGGACGAAACCGTTTCGAAAAAATATTCACATTTTCCTGATTGTGATATCAACGAAAGGGTGACAGAAGAAACAAAATTTCGGAACTTTGGTATTTCGCATAAAAGGACTTTGAGACTTTCGTTACGTTTGTTGCATTATTAAGTATATAATCGTTCGGTTCAGCCTAATTTATTAAGATTTCTTGGATGCAGTTTAGGCAGTTGTTACTTACAACAGAGGCTTCGATCCGATAAACTATTCGAGGGATGTATAGTATTTACTGACGAATCAAAGATGGACATTGGCACGTATATAAAAAGGTCCTTCTTTAAAGGGGAGAATCTAGCGATCTGAAAAGCGACGGAACTGATACCGAATCGCATCGTTCTTGGATCTGTTTAGAGAAGTTATATCGATTGTCAGGCTACATTCAAAGCATTGAGATGTCTGTCATTCGATGACTAATAGAAGTAGAATGTAGAAATATTCTGTAATGGGTAATAAGGTATCAGATGGACTTCCAATGTAGTATTCGAACATAGACCTAATTAGTAGGGATAGATATGAAAAACTATTTCTTTGTCAATATAATGAGATTACTGGACTAGAACACACAGCGTTCTCATAGTCGAGTGGCACTTTTTGGTGCACAGGGACATCAAAAATATAGAACATGATCCTAGCGATTTGGAAAACTGATACTGGATTGCATCGTTCTAGAATCTGTTGTCACAATCTATATCGATAGTCCGGCTACATTCAGAATATTGATATATCATACGATCCATGTCAACGACTAGACAAAATGTCTAGTCTATTTGAAGAATTCTATAACTTTTGATAACTAATATTTGACAAAGTTCTCATCTGATTATTTCGATCTGAAGTTTATAAAAGTTTAAACATAAACATTATTAGACAATGACAATATTCTAGGTCAATCAACTAATAAATAATTTTATTATTTTTAAACACTCAAGCAATTTGTCATTGGTATAGGTCGGGGAATATGAAAAAAACACGACAAACAATTAACCGAAAGCCGAAAGTTTGGAAATAAAGCAATAATTCAAAATGATTAAAAGAAAGAAATAAAAATTTTAAACAATGAACAAAATTGTAAACAAATTCGACAAATTTAGACAATGACCATATTATGATAAAGGTTTTTAGAATATATTTTAACATATAAAGAGCAATATTAATAGAAATGTCATAAATTACTTTCTTATGTAGTTAAAGCGTTAATAAAAACGCTTAATTGTTTACATTGTTATTAAAACAGGATGTACGTGAAGTTAACAAACCATAGAGAAGGCATGACATGAAAATGAAACATGTACCGCTATGTTTACATATAATTTTGTTAAAACATGTGTTTTTAATAAAATTTAAATTACACAAATTTATACAATTAATAATAATTTTTGTCAATTCATGCCAGAACACACCCTTAAAACTTTTTTCTAAAAAAAAATCGCTAATGATAAGACATTTATAGTTTTTTTTTTGTCTTAAATATAGACCAACAATTTTTATAGTTTTATATAATATTTATGTATATACAACTGTAGCTATTTAATCAGACAAACATTTATAAAATTTGAGACATGCTAAAAATATTAATATATACATTTTTTTTAAAAAAGACTTACGTGTACCTATGAAATTGCACTTTTAGCACTAAATTCTCATTTCATTTCTGCCAAATAAGCCAAAAACTAATAAATTTATATTCTATATACTACATACATACATTCTCAAATATATGTTAATTTGTAATTTAAATAATAAGAAGAAATAAAATCAAGCGATAAATTGCAAAAAAAACGCTTGTGTTCAACATATTAAATAATGAAATGTGTGTGTTTTGAATAATTAAGAGGGAAAATGTAAATAAAAGATTTTTTTGTATAAATTATAAAAATTTTTTATATATAAACAGCTGCTTTTAAAAGTAAATAATTAGAAAAAAAATCTAACCGGCCGGCTTTTATTCGTTTATTAGGAAAATATTCCATATTTATAATAGTTTGTTACTAATTGCTTTAGGACCGGTTTTATAATTATAATATTTGTTTTAAATTTTCGTTTTTTTTTTTTAAATTTGTATTAACTTTTAACTAAAGTTTGTTTTTGTGGGTGCAAGGGTTAATAAACTTTAAGATACTTTAATATACGTAAATATTTGTTAAATTTACCGTTATGCCAACGATATCTGTAGTAAATTATAAAAATTAAGATATTTCTGATAATAGCTGAATGTGTTGGAACATTTTGTCTCTAGATATTTCCTAGTCGTTCGATAGAGTGTTGCATGGTGTATTTAAATCAAAACTAATTGTATTTGGTTTCGGAAATGATCGCACTATACGATTTATTATAGATGGAATCTTATCAAACGAGTTCAAGACTAATGTTCCGTTCTTCCCCCTACTCTATATCTTATGTTCTTAAACGACGTTTTATGCCAATCTTGATGACAGCAATATCTGTCATTCTTATCCAATTATACAACAACAATCCTTTTGAAGATTAGGGCAATGAATGATTCGCACACACGGACTTGATGCGAAAATTTTAATGTTCCCTTTCAACTCAAAAAATCAACTTTCTGGAGCTACTCGACCGCACACAGAAGAGGGCGAAGATACTTATCGTTGACAATTGTCATAGTGCTTTACGTGAACACTTAACACCAACCCATTTCCAACGCTTAGTCCCATAGTCCCTCCTCTATGGGGTATCTGTTGACTTCGGCACCGAACTTATCCCGAATCATACGATTTCACCCAGCATCAGTCTTTTAACCAACATTCTCTTCCGGCGAATTTAGGTTTAAACCTCAGCCACCACCTGCACCCCGAAGGACCTTCTCCAATAACTGGGACAAGACAAAGCCCGAAACTCTGCCCTGCGGGCTACCGGTTCCCGTGGTACCAGATTATGTGGTTCTCTGGTACGACCCCTTATCAAATCATTCCAAGGAAAGCCCAAGAATATATTTGATCATCACCAGTTTATAGTCCCGGCAAACTAGAGGTACTGGTAGCACCTAATTTCCACGGTATTGCAATAATACCAAGATGGGGTCTTTCATCAAGGTAACATGACCCGGGGGGAGACTTATCGGTGACAGAAGGGTATCGAATTCTATTGATTTATTATGGCTTTGAATTAACGTGAGAATTTGGAAGTACTTTACGTCGGATAATTCCCACGAAAAGTAACTTAAAATCTTGACGAACTGGGGGAAATCGTGGGACTTAATACTCGCAGTCTACTACGTTTTATGAGGATAATTAGTCATTTCTTCGACTGGTTTTTATAGGGAGACTCAGTTTCTCTCACATTTATTTTCTTAGGGAATCGACTCGATAAATATTTTATGTGAAACTCTTTCTGAATCGACAGTTTCCATTCATCGCTCCGTTTTAACTCTATTCTTTCTTATTTTAGTGATGTATTTTCTGAGTAATTCCATTGAAAAACGAGGTAGCATGTTGTCCTCGTTTTGAAGCAGGTGTTTCACAACAAGCCCATCAAAGTTAGGCTAATCCGCGTAACATTTGCTGAAGAATTTCTTTGATAACCGTACATGCATTGAATCACTCTGTATCGCCGACGAATCTCACCAAAGCCAAAAAGAAGAGCAGCAGGTGTTCCTGATATAATTCGATGACACACCATTCTGTAGCTACAACGTTAATGACTCCGTTTTGTCGTTTGCAAGAACCTTTACGGGAGAATTCATTCAATAACAAGTCCATGCATTTGATCACTCTGTATCGACGGGTGTTCCGCGATATATTTCGATGACAAACCATTCTATTACTACAGAGTTAGGTTAGGTTGATAGGAGGATGTTCCTAAGAATCTTCCAATCAGTGTTAGTCAGGAATGTTATTTCTGGAATAACATCACTTCCAAGATACTTGGATCTAACTTCGACGAATGCCTGGCAGTGGCAAAGAAAGTGTTCCAGAGTTTCACTGTCCTCTCTACATGCTCTACATTCGTCTGAATCCGCACGTCCAATTTTGCATAGATGTGCTCGTAATCCTGTGTGTCTACTCAGAATACGTACCATCATACTAACTTCAGACTTGCTCATTTTGAGGAGATTTTTCGTCTTGCTCTGGGTCACTCACTACAGAGTTAGTGACCCAGTCTTTGTCGTGTTCCAGGTATATTTGAATGACATTCCATTTGAAAACATATAAAGAGAGACATACCAAGAAATTAAATGCTTGATTTCATCACTCTGTATCGCTGACGAATCTCACCAAAGTCAAAAGGAGGAGCAGCAGGTGTTCCTGATAAAATTCGATGACACCCCATTCTGTTGCTACAACGTTAATGAATCCGTTTTGTCGTTTGCGAGTACCTTTACGGGAGAATTCCTTTAATAACAAGTCCATGCATTTAATCACTCTGTATCGACGTACATACATATGTTCCGCAATATATTTCGATGACAAACCATTCTGTTACTACAGAGTTAGTGACCCCGTCTTTGTCGTTTGCTATTACTTCAGCAATTAATAAAATGCTCCTCTAGCAGGGGTAGTAGTGTTTGATGTGGGTCCTTAAGTTCTATTTGTTTAAAAGCTTTCTCCTTTTTAGCGGTTTGCCTTTTCGTGGGGTAATGGGTAATATGGAAAAGTTAAAAGAAGGGGGGAAAAACAGGAAATTGTAATTAAGAGGAGGATAAGCATTGGTCATGAAGGCTTTTCAAATCGCAGTATCAAGAGTAGACCCTACGTCGTGAATTTAACAAATAAGCTGATCATTAAAGGAATCATTATTGGCACCGAAAAGTATATCTCTTTTCATATGAGTATTAGATTATAAAAAAAATCCCCTTTTATGACTCCTTATAAATGATTATTCATAAAATTTGTTTATTAATAAATACTAATAAATTTTTGGGACTGGTTTAGACCTTTAATCGGAACATATGTTAGTGGCTATTATCTGCCAAATTTTCTATTTTTTGTTTGTCTTGTGATAAGAAATACGTGGTTTTAATATGACACAATTTGATTCATGTTTATTTATTAAAACTCTTAATTAAAAGTCTAATAAGAAACAAAAACAAACACTGTATAAATTTTGTGTTAATAACATTTTTGGGGGTAAATAATACGGATTTGCAAAATTCTTAACAGATAATGATGAAAATTAAAAAAACACACGAGACTTTTTATAATTGTTAAGATAAGCAATTGTTGCTAACTTGCCGGGCTAATAGCAAGAGGGAGTATTAATTGAAGTGGATTTAGGGTCTTCACAGTAGACACTTGAAATCATTTGAAATGTTTTTCTAATCTCATTCTATTTTCTTTTTAGGTTTTCCCCGAAACCACCAATTTAAAAATTCGCACCGACAAAAAAGTACCCCGCTTGGGTTTGATGTTGGTGGGATGGGGTGGTAACAACGGTTCCACCTTAACCGCTGCTCTCGAAGCCAACCGCCGCCAATTGCAATGGCGCAAACGTACCGGTGTACAAAAGGCCAATTGGTTTGGTTCCATTACCCAGGCCTCTACTGTTCTTTTGGGTTCTGATGAAGATGGCAAAGATGTTTATGCACCCATGAAGGATTTGGTGCCCATGATCAATCCAGATGACATCATTGTAGATGGCTGGGATATTAGTTCCCTTAACATTGGTGATGCCATGCGTCGTGCTCAAGTTTTGGATGTTGAGCTACAGGATCAATTGTACAAAGATTTAAGTCAAATGAAACCCCGCCCCTCTATATATGATCCTGATTTTATTGCCGCCAATCAATTGGATAGAGCCGATAATCTCATTAAGGGTACTAAATACGAACAGTATGAACAAATACGTCGTGATATTCAAGATTTTAAGACCAGCAAGAATTTGGATTCTGTTTTGGTTCTATGGACGGCCAATACCGAACGCTTCAGTGATATTAAGCCTGGTTTGAATATGACCATGCAAGAATTGGAGGAATCTTTGAAGGCTAACAAATCGGAAGTCTCTCCTTCAACCATTTTTGCCATGGCCAGTATTGCTGAGGGTTGCACTTATATTAATGGTTCACCACAAAATACTTTTGTACCTGGTCTCCTTGAATTGGCTGAACATAAGGGTGTTTTTATTGCCGGCGATGATTTCAAATCGGGTCAAACTAAATTGAAGTCTGTGTTGGTGGATTTCTTAGTGGGTGCTGGTATTAAGCCGGTATCGATTGTCAGCTACAATCATTTGGGCAACAATGATGGCAAAAATTTGTCGGCTCCTCAACAATTTAGATCAAAGGAGGTGAGTTTTCTGAACTGAACAATTAATGAACTAGTACTGAACTAGATGTGAACTAGAACTGAACTAGAACTGAACTAGAACTGAACTAGAACTGAACTAGAACTGAACTAGAACTGAACTAGAACTGAACAAGAACTAGAACTGAACTAGAACTGAACTAGAACTGAACTAGAACTGAACTAGAACTGAACTAGAACTGAACTAGAACTGAACTAGAACTGAACTAGAACTGAACTAGAACTGAACTAGAACTGAACTAGAACTGAACTAGAACTGAACTAGAACTGAACTGAACTAGAACTGAACTAGAACTGAACTAGAACTGAACTAGAACTGAACTAGAACTGAACTAGAACTGAACTAGAACTGAACTAGAACTGAACTAGAACTGAACTAGAACTGAACTAGAACTGAACTAGAACTGAACTAGAACTGAACTAGAACTGAACTAGAACTGAACTAGAACTGAACTAGAACTGAACTAGAACTGAACTAGAACTGAACTAGAACTGAACTAAACTGAACTAGAACTGAACTAGAACTGAACTAGAACTGAACTAGAACTGAACTAGAACTGAACTAGAACTGAACTAGAACTGAACTAGAACTGAACTAGAACTGAACTAGAACTGAACTAGAACTGAACTAGAACTGAACTAGAACTGAACTAGAACTGAACTAGAACTGAACTAGAACTGAACTAGAACTGAACTAGAACTGAACTAGAACTGAACTAGAACTGAACTAGAACTGAACTAGAACTGAACTAGAACTGAACTAGAACTGAACTAGAACTGAACTAGAACTGATCTAAAACTGAACTAGAACTGAACTAGAACTGAACTAGAACTGAACTAGAACTGAACTAGAACTGAACTAGAACTGAACTAGAACTGAACTAGAACTGAACTAGAACTGAACTAGAACTGAACTAGAACTGAACTAGAACTGAACTAGAACTGAACTAGAACTGAACTAGAACTGAACTAGAACTGAACTAAAACTGAACTAGAACTAAACTAGAACTGAACTAGAACTAAACTAGAACTGAACTAGAACTAAACTAGAACTGAACTAGAACTGAAATAGAAATGAACTAAAACTGAACTAGAATCACTATTGACACTGAAATAGAACTGAACTAGAAAAGAACTAGAACTGAACTAGAACTGAGCTAGAACTGAAACATTTTGACATAAGATCGAAACTAAATTTTTCTTTTCTTTATATAGATCTCCAAGAGCAATGTAGTCGATGACATGGTAGAATCCAACAAGTTGCTCTATGGACCCAAAGAACATCCAGATCATGTGGTGGTCATTAAATATGTTCCCTATGTTGGTGACAGCAAACGTGCCATGGATGAATACACTTCGGAAATTATGATGGGCGGCCATAACACTCTTGTCATACACAATACCTGTGAAGATTCCCTCTTGGCTACTCCTCTTATTTTAGATTTGGTTATTTTGGGTGAATTGTGCTCACGCATACAAATCAAGAACAAGAATGAACCAAATGCTCCTTGGGTACCCTTCAAACCGGTATTATCTATATTGAGTTATTTGTGCAAGGCTCCATTAGTGCCCGAGGGCGCCCAAGTGGTTAACTCTCTATTCCGTCAAAGAGCTGCCATAGAGAATATTCTACGTGGATGCATTGGTTTGGCACCCATTAATCACATGACTTTGGAACAAAGAGTAAGTTAAAAATGCGACGGGAAATTATTGAAATTATTTATTAATTCAACTTTATTTCAGTTTGATTTCTCGAGCATTACCAATGAACCACCAACCAAAAAACTCAAGACCTCTTTGGCCCATAGCAAGCAACAGCATATCAAGGCTCATGCTAATGGTCATGCTAATGGTATTACAACAAATGGTACAAATGGTGTTCATTAAATTGAGCAGCAAATTTCCCCATTTTCTCTCCTCACCAACTAACATCTCATTAACAATTCCAAAAAGAAATCTTTTAAAGATTGTAGGATTTTAAATGTCTTTACATATATAAAACTAAACATTTTGTTGTATATCTCTCTAGATTATACCCTAAAACCTTTTGGTAGTATGTAGTTTTGAAAAAAAAAAAAAAAACCAACCCACAGCAGTTTTGTATTTATGTTTATAAAACTCCTTTAAACTTTTTCTTAAAAATCGTTTTAGTATTAGGAAAAGAATACTTATTTTTGTTTCTTTTAACAACAAATCTATATTATTCGTAGATTTAGCTTAACAGTTATGGACAATTTTTAAGAAATTACAAATTTCTTTTGTGTTATAAATAAAATACTATATGAACTGAAAACATATTTTTATATGAAAAAGTAAAAAAGTTTATGTTTTATATTTCATTTGTTGAGGTGCTGTTTTTGTTGTTTTTCCTTATAAGTGGCAAAGGAAAAATGTTTTAAGTACCTTAATTTATTAAATTTTAAGTTTACTTATTACCAATATTTTGTTTAAATGTTTCCAAGTTGATAAATTTTATGTACATTCTATAAATAACCAATTTAGTTTATTTCCTTGGAAAAGATGTTTATGTTTACTACATAATATGTATTTTAATATACATTAAGTTTGTGTATATCTAATTATATTATAATTAATAATCAATATAATAATTTGTAGTTATTTTCCAGGAATACAAATGTTTATTTTTTTCAAATTTCTACTATTTTATAAACAATATATATTTTTTGAAATAAATTCCAAAATAAAAAAATTTACTGTGTTTAATTTATTATATTGATAAGAGCAATAATTGATCGCGAACTGAATTAAAACTAAACTAACTGAACTAGAACTCACCTAAAACTGAACTAGAACTAACCTAGAACCGAAATAGAACTGAACTAGAACTAAAACTGAACTAGAACTGAACTAGAACTGAACTAGAACTGAACTAGAACTGAACTAGAACTGAACTAGAACCAAACTAGAACTGAACTAGAACTGAACTAGAACTGAACTAGAACTGAACTAGAACTGAACTAGAACTGAACTAGAACTGAAGTAGAACTGAACTAGAACTGAACTAGAACTGAACTAGATCTGAAATAGAACTGAACTAGAACTCAACTAGAACTGAACTAGAACTGAAGTAGAACTGAACAAGAAATGAACTAGAACTGAACTGTAACCGAACTAGAATTGATCTAAAACTGAACTAGAACTGAACTAGAACTGAACTAGAACTGAACTAGAACTGAACTAGAACTGAACTAGAACTGAACTAGAACTGAACTAGCTAGAACTGAACTAGAACTGAACTAGAACTGAACTAGAACTGAACTAGAACTGAACTAGAACTGAAGTAGAACTGAACTAGAACTGAACTAGAACTGAACTAGATCTGAAATAGAACTGAACTAGAACTCAACTAGAACTGAACTAGAACTGAAGTAGAACTGAACAAGAAATGAACTAGAACTGAACTGTAACCGAACTAGAATTGATCTAAAACTGAACTAGAACTGAACTAGAACTGAACTTGAACTGAACTAGAACTGAACTAGAACTGAACTAGAACTGAACTAGAACTGAACTAGAACTGAACTAGAACTGAACTAGAACTGAACTAGAACTGAACTAGAACTGAACTAGAACTGAACTAGAACTGAACTAGAACTGAACTAGAACTGAACTAGAAGTGAACTAGAAGTGAACTAGAACTGAACTAGAACTGAACTAGAACTGAACTAGAACTGAACTAGAACTGAACTAGAACTGAACTAGAACTGAACTGGAACTGAACTAGAACTGAACTAGAACTGAACTAGAACTGAACTAGAATTGAACTAGAACTGAACTAGAACTGAACTAGAACTGAACTAGAACTGAACTAGAACTGAACTGGAACTGAACTAGAACTGAACTAGAACTGAACTAGAACTGAACTAGAACTGAACTAGAACTGAACTAGAACTGAACTAGAACTGAACTAGAACTGAACTAGAACTGAACTAGAACTGAACTAGAACTGAACTAGATCTGAAATAGAACTGAACTAGAACTGAACTAGAACTGAACAAAAAATGAACTAGAACAGAACTATAACCGAACTAGAATTGAACTAAAACTGAACTAGAACTGAACTTGAACTGAAACAAGAACTGAAATAGAACTGAACTAGAACTGAACTAGAACTGAACTAGAACTGAACTAGAACTGAACTAGAACTGAACTAGAACTGAACTAGAACTGAACTAGAAATGAACTAGAACTGAACTCGAACTGAACTAGAACTAGAACTGAACTAAACTAGAACTAAACTAGAACTAAACTAGAACTGAACAAGAACTGAACTAGAATTGAACTAGAATTGAACTAGAATTGAACTAGAACTGAACTAGACCTGAACTTGAATTGAACTTGAAGTGAACTAGAACTGAACCAGAAATGAAAGAGAGCTAAACTAAAACTGTAGTAGTACACAACTAGAATTGAACTGAAACTATACTAGAACTAAAATAGAATTGAGCTAGGATTGAACTCAGATTTAATTGAAACTATACAAGAACTGTCCTAGAACTGAACAAGTTCTGCATTAGATAGGAATTACAACTCAACTAGAACTAAGCTATGATTGAAAATTTTCTATACCTAAACTGAAGGACAGATAGTTTAGATTGTACTAGAGAATAGATTATCCTCTAAGCAATAGTCTCAAAAAAGATTAACCAATCTGGACTCCAGATTCAGGAGATTGTATTACATATGATAACACTCTAGAGATTTTTTATTTCAACGGATATTTTCGGGAAGCATTAAATAGGTTCTCAATTAAAATAAAATATCTAAAATTTATCGTTTATCCTTTCTGCCGCATAAATATAAAAAATATTAAAACTCAACATTTTACTTACCGAAAAATGCCTCAAAAGTTTGAGAAACAAAAATTTCAGCTGCTGCATGATGTACTTAACACATAATCTTTAAATTTAAACACTTACACATAAATACCACAAACAAATAAAGTTTAACAAATATTTTCCATTTATAAAATTTATAAAAATTCCTTTCTAAAGCCTTAATTTTAGCACTTTGTTGAAAACTGTTAGAACTTGTTCAATTTATGTGAAAATTATTCACAATAACAAGTCATGGTAGAGAGTTGCCAGTTAACAAACTTAAAGAAACAGCTGTTGTCAAGTAACAGCATTGCCAGGTGTCATATGTTTTAAATAAAGGAAATTTGTATGATGTAAAGAGTTACCAACTTACAAATAATTTGAAAAAGGGAAATTATTGGTCTTACCGTTAAAATAAGACAGCATTGCCAGGTGGAGTATATTTTATAAAAAGGAAATTTGTTTGATATGTAGTATCACCAGATTGTATTTGAAAAAGAGAAATTATTGATCTTACCGTTAAATTGAGGGAGATTGTTAAAACACAAATTGTTCTATATTACACTGTAGAAGAACTATTAAATACATAATTTTCTATAGAAAGAACTGTTATACACAGATTTTCATTTAAAATAAACTGTTATGCACTGATTTTCTATGGAAAAAGCAGTTATGCAGAGAATTTTCTATAAGAAAATTGTTATTCGCAGATTTTTCTATATAAAAAATTATTATACAAAAGTTTTTCTATAGAAAAAACTATTATACACAGATTTTTCTATGGGAAAAGCTGTTATACGGAGATTTTTCTGTAAAAAACTGTTATTCGTAGATTTTTTCTATATAAAAAACTGTTATAAACTGATTTTTCTAAAAAAAAACAGTTATACAAAGATTTTTTACGCAGGAAACTGTTATACAAAAATTTTTATATAAAAAACATTTATACAGATTTTCGATATAAGAAACTATTATACAAAGGTTTTTCTTTAAAAACATATACCTCTATAGAAAAAACCTGTTATACTTAGATTTTTCTTTAAAAAAATGTTATACACAGATTTTCTATAGAAAACACAGTTATACACATAATTTTAATAAAAAAAAAAAACTTTTATACACATAATTTTTTAAGAAAAAACTGTTATACACATAATTTTCTTAAGAAAAAACTGTTATACAGAGATTTTTATATAGAAATAGAAGTTATACACAAGCCTTTCTATAGAAAAAACTGTTAAAAAACGATTATACAGAATTTTCTATAGAAAAACAGTTGTGCACAGATTTTTCTATAGAAAAAACACTTTCACACAGATTTTTTTATAGGAAAAGCTGTTATACAAAATTTTTTTATAGAAAAACTGTTATACAAAAATTTTTATACAGAAAAACTGTTAGACACAGGTTTATTGATAGAAATAATTGTTTGTGAAACAAGAGTTTCTATGAAAAAATCTGTTATACAAAGAAAAAATTATTATACAAAAATATTTATATAGAAAAAACTGTTATATAAAAATTGTTCTTTAGAAAATATTATTATACACAGTTTTTTTGTATAAAAAACTGTTATACAAAGGCTTTTCTATTATACACTAGTTTTCCCTAGAATAAACTGTTATACACAGCTTTTTCTATACGAAAATAAGATTTTCTATAAGAAAAACTGTTATACATTGAAAAAAAAACTCTATTGAAAACACTGGAATAATAATCATTTTTTAATATTTTAGTGTTTAATTTTTCTATAGAAAAAAACAGTTATACACATAATTTTTTTTAAAAAAACGTTTAAACACATAATTTTCTTAAGAAAAAACTGTTATACACATAATTTTCTTAAGAGTAAAACATTTTTATATAGAAATAGCAGTTATACACAAGCCTTTCTATAGAAAAAACTGTTAAAAAAACGGTTATACAGAAATTTTTCTATAGAAAAAAACTGTTATACACAGAATTTTCTATAGGAAAACAGTTATGCACAGATTTTTCTATAGAAAAAAACAGTTTTTTATAGGAAAAGCTGTTATACAAAAAATTTTTTATAGAAAAACTGTTATACAAAAATTTTTATACAGAAAAACTGTTAGACACAGGATTATTGATAGAAATATTTTTTTGTGAAACAAGAGATTCTATGAAAAAAATCTGTTATACACCGAAAAAATTGTTCTTTAGAAAATACTATTATACACAGTTTTTTTGTATAAAAAACTGTTATACAAAGGTTTTTCTGTTATACACTAGTTTTCCTTAGAATAAACTGTTATACACTTCTTTTTCTATACGAAAAACAAAATATTTTATAAGAAAAACTGTTATACATTGAAAAAACTATTATACACAGAATTCTCTATTGAAAATACTGGAATAATAATAATTTTTTAATATTTAAATGTTTAATTTAAGTCAACAAATAAATGAGCCAATTTTTAAAGATAAAATCGCATGCGAAGCACAAAAACTCCAAATTTATAGATAATTCTAAAAAAGTATTTGTTTTATAAATAATTTCTATAGATAACAGAAGATAGTAAATACGACAATATATAAAACTGATAGGTTTTAAACAAATAGTAGTAAAAACAAAACATAAACCCCAAAGATAATAAAATATTAACTGACACAATTAATTTTGTATGCTTTGGAGATCCCAAAGTACAGTGTGAACTTAGATTGATGATATTATGGAAAATTCACTAAAACTAATTAATGAAAGTTTTAATCAATTTTTATAACTTCAATACACAAATGTATGAATCAGCTTTATGGGGTAACCGAACAAAAAATTATGAAACTTTGGACTTTTGTTAGGAAAAAGATAAAAAACAATAAACTTTTTGCTTTTAAAAACGTTTGTCAAGGAAATATTTTTAAAAGAAGCAATTAATTTAAGAAAATGTATACATTTTACTTTATATTGCTACAAAAATTACTCATTTTATTTATTTGTCGAAATAACTTTCAAAATTTTTAAATCTGACATCAATTTGTTAACCCAACCATCAATTATAATTGTAGATAATTCTATTTAAGTCAAGCATTTTAATTATTACCCAACAGCTGTAGTAAAAAAGTTATAGTCAGTGTTAAAAAGAGTTTCTAATAATAAAATTATTAAAAATTTCAATTGGTTCAATAGTTTTACTACAATTTTCCGCTTTTATTCTTAATTTCCGTTGACATCACTTGCTCAGTTGGTCATTTTTTTTTTGTTGCTTCAAAAGTGTCAGTGACATCAAAAGCAGAAAAAAGGAAATTAATGACACATTTTAACACAGTTTGATATCTGCAAAATACTCTATTAAACAAGCCAATATTTCCTTAAACACTCACACTTTCTTTTAAACGCATCGCCACATGTACACAATAAACCATATACATAAAGGAATCTCAAGGACACCGAAAATTATTACGTGTCAAAGAGACATTTTCCAAGCAACAAATAAGACACACTTTTTTTGTTTCTTTACTTTTTGAGGGAAATTGTTTGACAAGGTAATTGTCATGCTAATTAAAGTGACACCAATAATATATCCTGATGTATAGTTTGGACTATAGTCTAGACTATAGACTAGACTATAGACTAGACTATAGACTAGACTATAGACTAGATTATAGACTAGACTATAGACTAGACTATAGACTAGATTATAGACTAGACTATAGACTAGACTATAGAATAGACTATAGACTAGACTATAGACTAGACTATTGACTAGACTATAGACTAGACTATAGACTAGACTATAGACTAGACTATAGACTAGACTATAGACTAGACTATAGACTAGACTAGACTATAGACTAGACTATAGACTAGACTATAGACTAGACTATAGACTAGACTATAGACTAGACTATAGACTAGACTATAGACTAGACTATAGACTAGACTATAGACTAGACTATAGACTAGACTATAGACTAGACTATAGACTAGACTATAGACTAGACTATAGACTAGACTATAGACTAGACTATAGACTAGACTATAGACTAGACTATAGACTAGACTATAGACTAGACTATAGACTAGACTATAGACTAGACTATAGACTAGACTATAGACTAGACTATAGACTAGACTATAGACTAGACTATAGACTAGACTATAGACTAGACTATAGACTAGACTATAGACTAGACTATAGACTAGACTATAGACTAGACTATAGACTAGACTATAGACTAGACTAGACTAGACTATAGACTAGACTAGACTAGACTAGACTATAGACTAGACTATAGACTAGACTATAGACTAGACTAGACTAGACTATAGACTAGACTAGACTAGACTAGACTAGACTAGACTAGACTAGACTATAGACTAGACTATAGACTAGACTGTAGACTAGACTATAGACTAGACTGTAGACTAGACTATAGACTAGACTATAGACTAGACTATAGACTAGACTGTAGACTAGACTATAGACTAGACTATAGACTAGACTATAGACTAGACTATAGACTAGACTATAGACTAGACTATAGACTAGACTATAGACTAGACAATAGACTAGACTATAGACTAGACTATAGACTAGACTATAGACTAGACTATAGACTAGACTATAGACTAGACTATAGACTAGACTATAGACTAGACTATAGACTAGACTATAGACTACTCTATAGACTAGACTATAGACTAGACTATAGACTAGACTATAGACTAGACTATAGACTAGACTATAGACTAGACTATAGACTAGACTATAGACTAGACTATAGACTAGACTATAGACTAGACTATAGACTAGACTATAGACTAGACTATAGACTAGACTATAGACTAGACTATAGACTAGACTATAGACTAGACTATAGACTAGACTATAGACTAGACTATAGACTAGACTATAGACTAGACTATAGACTAGACTATAGACTAGACTATAGACTAGACTATAGACTAGACTATAGACTAGACTATAGACTAGACTATAGACTAGACTATAGACTAGACTATAGACTAGACTATAGACTAGACTATAGACTAGACTATAGACTAGACTAGACTATAGACTAGACTATAGACTAGACTATAGACTAGACTATAGACTAGACTATAGACTAGACTATAGACTAGACTATAGACTAGACTATAGACTAGACTATAGACTAGACTATAGACTAGACTATAGACTAGACTATAGACTAGACTATAGACTAGACTATAGACTAGACTATAGACTAGACTATAGACTAGACTATAGACTAGACTATAGACTAGACTATAGACTAGACTATAGACTAGACTATAGACTAGACTATAGACTAGACTATAGACTAGACTATAGACTAGACTATAGACTAGACTATAGACTAGACTATAGACTAGACTATAGACTAGACTATAGACTAGACTATAGACTAGACTATAGACTAGACTATAGACTAGACTATAGACTAGACTATAGACTAGACTATAGACTAGACTATAGACTAGACTATAGACTAGACTATAGACTAGACTATAGACTAGACTATAGACTAGACTATAGACTAGACTATAGACTAGACTATAGACTAGACTATAGACTAGACTATAGACTAGACTATAGACTAGACTATAGACTAGACTATAGACTAGACTATAGACTAGACTATAGACTAGACTATAGACTAGACTATAGACTAGACTATAGACTAGACTATAGACTAGACTATAGACTAGACTATAGACTAGACTATAGACTAGACTATAGACTAGACTATAGACTAGACTATAGACTAGACTATAGACTAGACTATAGACTAGAATATAGACTAGACTATAGACTAGACTATAGACTAGACTATAGACTAGACTATAGACTAGACTATAGACTAGACTATAGACTAGAATATAGACTAGACTATAGACTAGACTATAGACTAGACTATAGACTAGACTATAGACTAGACTATAGACTAGAATATAGACTAGACTATAGACTAGACTATAGACTAGACTATAGACTAGACTATAGACTAGACTATAGACTAGACTATAGACTAGACTATAGACTAGACTATAGACTAGACTATAGACTAGACTATAGACTAGACTATAGACTAGACTATAGACTATAGACTAGACTATAGACTAGACTATAGACTAGACTATAGACTAGACTTAAGACTAGACTATAGACTAGACTATAGACTAGACTATAGACTAGACTGTAGACTAGACTATAGACTAGACTATAAACTAGACTGTAGACTAGACTATAGACTAGACTATAAACTAGACTAGATTAGTATATAGTCTAGTCGATAGCGTAGGCTATATGGCATCTCTAGCAACCAGTGTGAGACCATTATTAAAACATAAATTAAAACCAGTGATGCCAACTATTCTTTTGTTCATCTAAAAGTTAATTACCCACTTTGTCATCTCTAGTCTATTCCTTAACAATTATTATAAAAATCGTATAAAATAAAAACAAATTAAAAAAACGTCCTTTTTTATTTGAAAATATTTCCTTATGCGAACATTCCAGTCTCCACACATGTCTGAATTTAATTTGATTAAAAGCTTTAGCGTTTCGCGAAAAAATTTATATTATATGTAAATTTATTTTTGATAATAATATTATTGTTATTAACATTATTATTGTTTGTGGCTATTTATATATGAAAAAAGTTAAACCTCCCGCAATAGTGACTAGCACCTGCTACACCTCCTCCCCCCAAAAACACCTTTTTAACACACATAATTTTTGCACACTTGGAATCTCTTCATCACCATCACAGACATGTTGATTTTTTGATATTTAGTTTTTGATTTCGATTTGATTTTTTTACGTTCGTACGCTGTCAGTTAAATATTACGTCAACCTGATTAATTTACATACAAACATTCGCCTAGAGAAGGCACACAGGGATTAAAATTAAAAAAAAAAAAAAAATATTCTAGAAATGGGAAACACAAAAACGTTATTAAAGTGATTAAAGTTTTGTTTTTCATTCGTGTCTGCGAATGAGCAAATATTCATGCTAGACCTAGACAACGATACAGTAAAAAGAAACCTCAGTAGTGTCTTGAAAACTTTTAAGAAGTTAGCATCGGTTGTTGGCAAAGTAGTAAATTGTATTCTAATAACAATTATAATTTCTCACTTAAAGATCAATTATTATATATTTGCGAATATTTGTAGAAACACAAAAAAAAAGAGAACACATTTTAAAAATTAATAAATAAATGTGCAATAACAGCAAATTATTATATATTTAAAATAAATTTTTTATTGTTACATATTAAAAAAAAAGTCCAAAATTAAATGTTCCCTTAATTGGTGAAAAGTGTTTTATAAATGGAATTGTTTGTTTCAATTATTTAATTCATTAAATAATTATTGAAAAAAGCTGTGGAAATACAAATTTGGATTTAATATTGGAATGTTTGGGTAAGTCTAAATAAGGGTATCTAATGAGTCAAAGAATTTTAAAAGCCTAAGGAAATAGGGAGAAATAAAATAGTATTAAAAGGTGGATTTCTTAGACTAAAGTCTAGTCTATAATAAAATCTTTACTTTAAAGTTTAGTCTATAGCCTAGAATTTACACATGACTAGACTCTATATAGTCTAGGTTCTGGTCTGGTCTATAGTCTAGCCTTTAGACTAGTATACAGTTTGATCTACGGACTAGTCTAAAGTATAGTCAATAGTGTAGTTTATAATTTAGTGTATAGTCTACTGTGGTCTATAGTCTCGTCTATTCTATAGTCTAGTCTACTCTGGCCTATTATATAGTAAGGACTATATTCTACTCTATGACCTGGACAATAGCCTACTCTATAGTCTGGGTTACATTCTACTCTATAATATGGACTATAGTCTGATTTATAGTCTGGACTAGTCTGTACTCTACACTATATTAAGTCTATAGACTGAACTAGTATATAGTCTAGTCTATAGTCTAGTCTAAAGTCTAGTCTATAGTCTAGTCTATAGTCTAGTCTAAAGTCTAGTCTATAGTCTAGTCTATAGTCTAGTCTATAGTCGAGTCTATAGTCTAGTCTACAGTCTAATCTACAGTCTAGTCTATAGTCGAGTCTATAGTCGAGTCTATAGTCTAGTCTATAGTCTATAGTCTAGTCTATAGTCTAGTCTATAGTCTAGTCTATAGTCTAGTCTATAGTCTAGTCTATAGTCTAGTCTATAGTCTAGTCTATAGTCTAGTCTATAGTCCTAGTCTATAGTCTAGTCTATAGTCTAGTCTATAGTCTAGTCTATAGTCTAGTCTATAGTCTAGTCTATAGTCTAGTCTATAGTCTAGTCTAGTCTAGTCTAGTCTAGTCATAGTCTATAGTCTAGTCTATAGTCTAGTCTATAGTCTAGTCTATAGTCTAGTCTATAGTCTAGTCTATAGTCTAGTCTATAGTCTAGTCTATAGTCTAGTCTATAGTCTAGTCTATAGTCTAGTCTATAGTCTAGTCTATAGTCTAGTCTATAGTCTAGTCTATAGTCTAGTCTATAGTCTAGTCTATAGTCTAGTCTATAGTCTAGTCTATAGTCTAGTCTATAGTCTAGTCTATAGTCTAGTCTATAGTCTAGTCTATAGTCTAGTCTAGTAGTCTATAGTCCTAGTCTAGTCTATAGTCTAGTCTAGTCTATAGTCTAGTCTAGTCTATAGTCTAGTCTATAGTCTAGTCTATATTCTAGTCTATATTCTAGTCTAGTCTATAGTCTAGTCTATAGTCTAGTCTATAGTCTAGTCTAGTCTAGTCTAGTCTAGTCTAGTCTAGTCTAGTCTAGTCTAGTCTAGTCTAGTCTAGTCTAGTCTAGTCTAGTCTAGTCTAGTCTAGTCTAGTCTAGTCTAGTCTAGTCTAGTCTAGTCTAGTCTATAGTCTAGTCTAGTCTATAGTGTAGTCTATAGTCTAGTCTATAGTCTAGTCTATAGTCTAGTCTATAGTCTAGTCTATAGTCTAGTCTATAGTCTAGTCTATAGTCTAGTCTAGTCTATAGTCTAGTCTATAGCGTATAGTGTAGACTAGACTATAGTCTAGTCTATAGTCTAGTCTATAGTCTAGTCTATAGTTTAGTCTATGGTCTAGTCTATGGTCTAGTCTACAGTCTAGTATATAGTCTAGTCTATAGTCTAGTCTATAGTCTAGTCTATAGTCTAGTCTATAGTCTAGTCTATAGTCTAGTCTATAGTCTAATCTATAGTCTAGTCTATAGTCTAGTCTATAGTCTAGTCTATAGTCTAGTCTATAGTCTAGTCTATAGTCTAGTCTATAGTCTAGTCTATAGTCTAGTCTATAGTCTAGTCTATAGTCTAGTCTATAGTCTAGTCTATAGTCTAGTCTATAGTCTAGTAGTCTAGTCTATAGTCTAGTCTATAGTCTAGTCTAGTCTAGTCTAGTTAGTCTAGTCTATAGTCTAGTCTAGTCTATAGTCTAGTCTATAGTCTAGTCTATAGTCTAGTCTAGTCTATAGTCTAGTCTATAGTCTAGTCTATAGTCTAGTCTATAGTCTAGTCTATAGTCTAGTCTATAGTCTAGTCTATAGTCTAGTCTATAGTCTAGTCTATAGTCTAGTCTATAGTCTAGTCTAGTCTATAGTCTAGTCTATAGTCTAGTCTAGTCTAGTCTATAGTCTATAGTCTAGTCTAGTCTATAGTCTAGTCTAGTCTATAGTCTAGTCTAGTCTATAGTCCTAGTCTATTCTAGTCAGTCTATAGTCTAGTCTATAGTCTAGTCTATAGTCTAGTCTAGAGTCTAGTCTATAGTCTAGTCTATAGTCTAGTCTATAGTCTAGTCTATAGTCTAGTCTATAGTCTAGTCTATAGTCTAGTCTATAGTCTAGTCTATAGTCTAGTCTATAGTCTAGTCTATAGTCTAGTCTATAGTCTAGTCTATAGTCTAGTCTATAGTCTAGTCTATAGTCTAGTCTATAGTCTATTCTATAGTCTAGTCTATACTCTAGTCTATAGTCTAGTCTATAGTCTATTCTATAGTCTAGTCTATAGTCTAGTCTATAGTCTAGTCTATAGTCTAGTCTATAGTCTAGTCTATAGTCTAGTCTAGTCTATAGTCTAGTCTAGTCTATAGTCTAGTGTAGTCTAGTCTAGTCTATAGTATAGTCTAGTCTAGTCTATAGTCTAGTCTATAGTCTAGTCTATAGTCTAGTCTATAGTCTAGTCTATAGTCTATAGTCTGGTCTATAGTCTATAGTCTAGTCTATAGTCTAGTCTATAGTCTAGTCTATAGTCTAGTCTATAGTCTAGTCTATAGTCTAGTCTATAGTCTAGTCTATAGTCTATGGTCTATAGTCTAGTCTGTAGTCTATGGTCTATAGTCTATAGCCTATAGTCTAGTCTAGTCTATAGTATAGTCTAGTCTAGCCTATGGTATAGTCTATGGTCTAGTCTATGGTTTAATCTATAGCCAATCTATAGTCTAGTCTATAGTCTAGTCTATGGTCTAGTCTATAGTCTAGTCTATAGTATAGTCTATAGTCTAGTCTATAGTCTAGTCTATAGTCTAGTCTATAGTCTAGTCTATAGTCTAGTCTATAGTCTAGTCTAGTCTAGTCTATAGACTAGTCTATAGTCTAGTTTATAATCTAGTCTATTGGCTAGTCTATAGACTAGTTTATAGTCTAGTTTATATTCTAGTCTATTGTCTAGTCTATAGTCTAGTCTATAGACTAGTCTATAGTCTAGTTTAAGATCTAGTCTATTGTTTAGTCTATAGTCTCGACTATAGTCTTGTCAATGTTCTGGACATAAACATACATACATATGTATGTAATTGGGACAAGTTTATAAAAATTCCTACAGATTTCTTACCAGTCGTATAAATTCCATGTGTTAAGATTCTTTTGCATTTTCCGCACAAATAATTTTAATAAAAAATTAATACACAGGAAGTAGTTTTATATGTATATTTAGTACATATTTTTGCACATATTTTAGATCACATATTAAATTATACTTTTTTTAATAATAAATTGAAAATTAGAAATCAATAAAATTGTTTATGAGTAAGTACTACGTCATTGGTACGTTGTCATATTGATTAAATGTTAATTAGAAGGTAGAACAAACCTCCTACATATGTATCTCAAAAGAGACGCATTATTGCACAGTTTTCGAAACAGCTGTTGTCTATTAAAATCTATCTCATCAATAACGGTAACCAAGGAGGCTAAAATAAAAATATATTTATGTGTACTAAAAAAAATTGCAATTAATTGTTGGAATGATAATAAACCTATATACAATTTTAACCTCCAATAGGGCTGTTCACGTGTTCGGTTCAAGATAATTTTATTAATCTTATAAATTTCTCTATCGTTTTTAATCTATTTATAATATTTATATCAAACTTATGTGTTTCTGAAATTTTTGTTGTAATAATTTTTCACGTCCTTGGGTTCAGTTCTAGTACTTACTACCACACTTCAATAAAATGTAATAAATTATAGCAGATAATAGTATATCTACCTATTTTTGTTAAACGAACTAAATATGAAATGTGAAAAACTTTTAGATAAGAGGGACAATTTTAATGAATGTATGACTAATCGAATAATCGACATAAATTTATATAAAAAATAAATGTTATGATTAAGCAAAAATTTAGTGTTATAAATTCTATAATCTAGACTATTTATTAAACTATAGTCCGGACTATAGATCAAACTACGGTCCGGATATTGATTAAACTATGCTGCGGACTATAGCCTGTACTACAGTCAAATCTAGACCATAGTTTTTCTGTAATCTGGATTATGGTCTAGTCTATAGTCCAGTCTGGACTATAGTTCATAGTTTGGAATATAGAGTAGTCTATAGTCTGGACTTTAGTCTAGTCTACAGTCTGAAATATAGTCTAGTCTATACACAGGACTATAGTCTAGTCTATATTCTGGACTATAGTCTGAACAATAGTCTAGACTATAATCTGGACTAATATCTAGTATATAATCTAGTCTATACTCAGGACTACAGTCTAGTCTAGAGTCTGGACTAATCTCTAGTCTATACTCTGGAATATTATCTAGTCCATAGTCTGAACAATAATCTAGACTATAATCTGGACTAATAGTCTAGTTTAAAGTCTTTAGATCAGAATATTGCCTAGTATATATTCTGGATTATAGTCTAGTCTATACTCAGGACTATAGTCTAGTCTATAGTCTGGACTATTGTCTAGTATATATTCTGGACTATTATCTAATCTATAGTCTGAATATACCTTGGATTATAGACTAGTCTATAGTCTAGTTTATAGTCTGGACTATAGTGTAGTCTATAGGTTAGACTATTTTCTAGTCTATATTCTGACCTATAGTCTGGACTATATTCTAGTATACATATATACTGGATTTAATTAATTAATAATTTAGTCTATAGTCTGAATTACTTTCTAGTTTATCATCTGGACTACAGTCAGT